CTTTGCCACGGGTGGGCCATTAGCTGTTTAAAGTATGTTCTAAATAACAGGCTTTGACTAGGACAAAATTATTTAAATTAAATTTTAGCTTAGAATAATATTTTTCAAATCCTGTTATATTTTGTATAATTCTTTAAGATTCCTTAAACTGTAGAGAATTTGAGAAATATTCTAAACTATAAATAATAACAATCCATGAAACCTTTTTTTTACAAGTGTTATGTCCGTAGTAAAGTCCACAAACGCTTTCGACCTCGGTGGAGTCAAAAGCTTTTGTGGAGTTTACTACGGACATAACACTTGTAAAAAAAGGTTTCATGGATTGTTATTATTCAACGCAGTGTTAAGTAGTTGGAAGTCGTTTTGTCTTATAAACTATAAATGTTCTAAAATTTAATTTAAATAATTTTGTTCTGGTTAAGGTTTGTTCTTTAGAACATACATTAAATAGTTTACTCTTTTTAGTTTAACATCTGATTGCTCATTTTTATATAAGTTCTTCTTAAATACTTAATGAACTATTCTTAAATTTTAATATTGTTCTTAACTGAAGATTTGGCTCGTTTTGAGCCAAAAATGTTTTAAAAATAAAAAATATGTTTGATAACCTCAAAAAGCAATATGGTCATTATTTGGATAGATAAAATTGAAATTTTGCTAATGCTTCAAATCCATTAGATTTCTAAGAAAAAATAAAATTATTAATAATACACTGTTTAACTTGATCTTTAATATTAATGCCAAACTATTGCTGGATTATATTGGACTATATAACTCAATGTAATCAGGTAATCATTTGGCATTGAAACGACTTATAAATATGAAACATATAAATGGTATTCCACTGTACTTATTCTGCTAATAAGTTTGATTCAGGACATTTTTCAGAAATTAATCTTTTCTGAGAATACTTTGAGATTTAAACTTTGTTTCTAACCTGAATAACTTAACAGCTGTTAGATTTATTGTCACATTTCTTATGTTTGAATCTTTTTACTTGTCTCTTGTATGTATACAATACTGACTTGTATATTAATATATATGTTCTTTTAGTGTTTATGAAAATTCTGTTTAATCATTCAATTTTAACTGTTTAATACCTTTGTTAACTCTCTGTTGATAAAATTTAACAGTAAATTCAATTTATTTTTATTTTATCAGATGTTAAAATTTCATTGTGTAAACTGTAATTTATATCTTTTTCTAGAATTTTCAAATTATAATTTTTTAATAATAAATGCAAAATTTCTTTGTCTTTGGAGTATATTTTGTAATGTATTCTATATTTTCAAAAGAATTTATAAATTTTATTTAGAAATCTTACATATATATATTTAAGATTTCTAATTTTATTATATTTATTATACTTTCTCATCAAAATATTTTTCTTATACAAAGTCTGTATCTAGGATTAGATTGTTCTATATATATATATATATATATAGGATTAGGTTGTTCTATATATATATATACAGGCATACCTCGACTTACGTCGGTTTTGAGTTACGTCGTTCCCGATTATACGTCGCTTGTTAAAAAAGTATATGGAAAAATAAAAATCAAGTTTAAGTCATTTTATTCGACTTTACGTCTGTCCGCCACAAATATTGAAGTCGTAATATCACTAGATAAACGTTTAAAGCACATAAAATCATATTAAAATATATACAAGTATGTACTGTATTTACAGTACACGCATTCGTAAATTTAGATTACTTTTTTTGTACTATATTAAAAACTAAAATTTATTTGTTTGTAAGCTTAAAATAGATTTTTATTAACCATATATTATTTAAAATGCTTTCCTAGTGATAAGTAGATTCGGAGACAGGTAAATTCGACTTACG